TCTATCTATCTATCTATCTATCTATCTATCTATCTATCTATCTATCTTCTATGTATCTATCTTCTATCTATCTCTCTATCTCTCTATCTCTCTATCTATCTATCTATCTATCTATCTATCTATCTATCTATCTATCTATCTATTTTTGGTTTTTCAAGTCAGGGTTTGTCTGTGCAGTCCTGGCTATCCTGGAATTAGTCCTGTAGACCAGGCTGGTCTGGAGTTCACAGAGATACACCTGCCTCCGAGTGCTGGGCTTAAACGCATGAGCTACCACTGCCCAGCATTTTGTGGACTCTTTATTTAGTTCCATGCCCCATTTATTAAATTTCTTAAAGTAAACCAACAGTTAAGTTTGATGCCTTGTCTAATTACTGTTCCCAGGGAAGATTAATGTGCATGAGATGTTGTCTGAGAGCATTTTATTCGTATTGGTGACATTGGGGGCAGTTCCCTTCAGCTCTGCTGCTGCTCTAGCAACTAAGTATGTGCGATACTCAATGCTTTCATCTTTCAATGCTGCTCACTGCAGCCTTTCCTGGAGTGGATTTCATCCTGAGAAGTGACTTTCTTTGTTCACCAATGAGAAGCACGCCCCAGTTTATGTGTTTATCGTGAGATTAAAGCAATTCAGTTCCATCATCAGGCTCCAATTCTAACTGCAGCCCTCTTGCTCTTTCTAGCATATCTACAATTACTTCCTTCACTGAATCTTGAATCACCTCAAGCCATCCATGCTTTGGAATCTACTTCCTGAAAACTACTCCCTTTCCCCTTCTTGAGCCTGGCTGTCATTGTAGCCCAGGTTAACCTCAATCTAATGTAAAGATGACTTTGAACTCTTGATCTCCTGCCTCCACCTCCTGAGGACTGGGATTAAAAGTATGTGCTACCACAACCAGCTCAAGTTTTCTTGACACTGACATTTTGGTCTCTGCCTGTGAATCACAGATGTTCTTAGTGGCATTTAGAAGGCTGAAAGTCTTTCGTGGTGTTTAAGATGCTGTAGTCTTATGAATTTGGTTTACTTTCCCCACTTTCTTTATTCCTTCCCCAGGTCCCTCATTCCCTCTCTTCTCTCTTCCTTTCTCTCTTTCTCCATTCCCTCATTTCTTCACTTTATTTTCTGAGACAGGGCTTTGTATATTCCACCATGACCTCAAACTCACCAAATAGCCCAGGAAGGCCTTGGATTTGTGATCTTCCTGGTTCTGTCTCTTGAGTTCTGCGACTACAGGCGTGTGCCACTATACATAGTGACATACATACTTATGCAATAATAAGACTTGAAAGTTAAAACTGCTGCAGAGTTAAAAACTGGGATGCAGGATGGACTGTGTATCGATAGAACAAAAACATTAAGCTCACTGTCTATCTCCATTGTAGCTCTTATGTGACAAGTGGTCATGTCAACTAGCAGTGATTCTTTGAATCTTTTTTTTT